GCCCGACCGCTTTCGGCTGCCCTTGTGCCGCTTCGTCGCCCCCGCCCCCGCTGCCTGGACACGCGCCCGATCGAAAGGCAACAGCGCCGCTACAAGCGCGACGGCGGCTGCTGCCGAACGACACCTGCGGGACCCCGCAGTGGTAGGCTGGGCAAGCGGGAGGTGGCGATTGAACAACAACGCGAATCGGAAAAATAGAGAAGAATTATTGCAGTATCATCGAGAATTTACAACGGTGCAAGCCAGGAGCACGGGCCGGGGGTTTCGTCGCGGAGCGCCTATTGGGTTGCGATGCAGCGTTCTCGCAGGCGCACAAAGCTCTGGATGGGGCGGAGGCCCCTCCCGGGAATGAACAAACAAAAGAGAAACGCCGTTCGTGCAGCCGAACGCATTCTTATTCTTGGCTGCATGCCACACGAACCACAATGCTATCATAGATAGGGCGGGGTAATGAGCCGCGGGGTAGCGACTCAATGCCTTGCACTAATAGTCTTATCTGCGACGCTGATGGTGCACGTATCCCGACTCACACAGCAGCGTCAATCGTTTGTGGCGCAGCCACGCGTGCACCAGAGGGGGTGGGTGCAACGGGCGCGACGATGGTTGTTGTATGTGCGCCCCCCGTTCAAAATTTTGCTCTTTACATGCGGTTGTTTCTTTTCCGTTGATGAACATGTGCACACCCACGAAGAAACAAAATGTCAAGTCTTCCCGCTGTGCGGACGCAAACACGCGCATCATCAGGGCATCTGGAAGAGGCACGCATGCGGCATGTACCTGGCCGCGAGCGTATCACACATCACACCGTCGAGGAGCACGACCAGCAGCGTAGACATCGGATTGTGACAAGACAGACGGCAAATATTGCGTCTGGCTCACAACTTGCCCGCCACGTTCGTCTCAAGCCTTCCGAGTTTCCCGCCAAGTGAAAGCAAGCAGTCTACATACTGCTGTATCATACATCACTGTACTCCCCCCCCTATGGGAGGCAGTTGGCTTGTGACCACGGAAGTCGTCCGCCTCAGTTGGACCAGTACGGACATTAGAAGGTACTGAGTGGAGACCGGAACTTTTTTTTTGATGTCAAGACAACAACAACACAACAACAACAACATCACGGGACATTTCTACGGCATGAACCACAAACAACAAAGCCGTTGATGGTCATGACTTTGATGCGAGAGACCCGCCAGCAGTAGTCCCTCACGCCCTCGACGGTTTCTCTCGATGGTAGGTGCAATCTGAACGTGGGAAGGTGTGTTATGTTGTGTGTTGTTCGTTTGTGATCATCGGTCTGCTGTTGTTTTTGGAGCAGTCGGTTGGACCCACTCAACGCCAATAAACACCCGCCAGGTTACACATGGCGCATGACTATACCCACGGCGCACAGGTCGTATAGGCCCGGCCCCTCCTGGTTTTCATAGCTGGTCTCGGATCAGCGTCCCAGCGGTGATGTGATTTTTGGAGGGGTTGTTGTCTCTGTCTGTCTCTGCGTCTTGTCTGGTTTCAATCGCGCGCGCGCGCGATCTCCGCCTTTGTGCACGCCTTTTCGCGAAGAGAAACCCAGGGGTTGGGGAGCAACATCTCCTACGAATTTAGGGCAAACACGCTTGTGTAGCACGGCCACCTGCTATCGGAGCACGACCAACCCAGTGTGACGAAGAGCGCGCTATTTTTCTTCTTCCTCAGAAGCGAACAGATCGTCAATCGGTGCCCAACACATGCCGTTCTGGTCCCAAAGGTGCGTAATTTCGGCTTCCCCGCATCAAGTTTTGGGGCCCCTGTATCGCGCGGCGCAACTTTGGCCGATAGATCGAGCCTTTTTTTCCCCTCCTGGGGGCGAAGGGAAAAATTGTGGCGCTTCGCGCTCCGCGGCTCAATACAATGTACACTGCTCTATATAACTTGACTACATACAGGTGCCTCATATGCACTGTTAAGACCAACCCTTATGGAAGGTCTGCAGCTCCTGAGATTTGGGTTTTCGTGGTGAGGCCGATAGGACATATATCACTCCTTATGGTGCTCATATATTGCCGAAAAACCAACTGGGATTCAAATCGCAAATACCCCGGAATTGTCTTGCCCGCTGCGATTTTGAGGCCCAAATCCCAGCGGGAAATTTTAAATTTCCCGCTGAGATTTGGGTTTGAGGTCGTTGTGCAGGCGTTGTTGCGTGCGCGCGGCACCAATTGCTAATTTCACCTTTGTTTGCACCGCGCCCGTGCACCCGTGTGTTGGTGTGTAGGTAGGTGTCGCCATGTGTATCGTGATGATACAGATCAGATGTTGGACGTGTGTGTCGACTTTCTGCTGATCTTTAACACACCAAACATCCACCAATTGACAACAACATGTCCACGAGCCAGGGCTATGTGGAGAGCATTTGATGGAGAGAGGCAAAGAGGATACCGTTTCTCCGGGGAAAAAAAGGGCACGGCAGTAGTAAGAGACCATGGTATCGCTATGTACTGCTGCATGATCTCATTTGCAAGTACACAACCGACCGTTGGCTAGTCGATTGTTGTGTGCTGATGATGTCGTGCTGCTCAATCCAGAGCAGGTAGGTGTGTGTGTGCGTGTATCCCTTCCGATCCTACCGCGTAGCCGCCGTTGATGTCTGTTGTGTATGGTGGGGTAGAAAGGAACCAACCGTCAGTTAGTTGGTGGTCCGTCGTGTCAAAGCCAGTGTTTAACCCCAACCCCAACTTTAGCCAATTCTATGCTTCGTCGAATACGTTTGCGCTCTTTTGAAAATCTGCGTAACCTACATCTTGCGCTAACCGCTGTACCCGTTGCACGGCGGGGGGGCGGGGATTCGAGTGAGGTCCGAGAACACGGCAGTCAGACTCGTCATCGCAGCAGCAGCAGCAAAAGCAGCAGCAGCAGCAGCAGCAGGTCATGAGGCCGGCATCGCCGCCGCTACTCGAAACCAGCTTCAACGGGCCATGTGGGCATCGCGGCCGCTACAGCAGCAGATACTTTGGCAACTAACTTGCTAAGAACACTTCCAGCATCTACATGTCTAGTGGATGCAGCATGTCTAGTGGATGCAGCACTAGAGATGAACGTTAGGGTCTCTAGCGTGGGTGCTAGTGGTTGGAAATGAAGTGAAAAAGGTTGCTGCCATGAGCGCGTTTAAGTCTTTTGCGCGGGTGCAACGATAGTGTTGGAAATGAAGTGATTAAACTTCTGCACACCCCAACAAGATCCTTTGCTTAACGCAAGCGGGTGCGTCCTTTCTGCAGCTGCTGCTGCTGCTAGTGCTTGTTGTTGTTGACATCGACAACCAAATTTTAGTCCACTTGAAGTCTTGGAATTGCGGCGAATGTTAACATTGAACACCCGACGATATAGGTTTACCCGGAAGGAAAAGCTGAATGCGGACACTACATCAAGATACATATTCGAAATATGTACAACGGCTCAGCTGCTGGCGTGCGTACCATCAAAATACTAACGCTGCGGCAGAACAGCGGCAAAGAAATACTGCTGTTGTTGCATGCGTAGACAACAGCAGTAATTCGCTATCTTCGCATCAAAACCTACCGGTCGGTCTCATGTATACCAACCGCACGCGTCCAACTGACGCTGAGGCCTTCCGTGGTCACAGGCAACTATATACTAAAAAAAAAGGGCACACACTTTTACCAAAAAAGCAACGGAAAAAAAACTAAACAACGGACTAAAGTTGCGCCACTCCTCAACTTGCACTTGCTCCTCTCTGCTTTAGTCTGCGTACTGCGTACTGCGTACTGCTGCGCGAATGCAAACGCTGTGTAGCTCGAGAAACGTTCGCACTTCACAGGAAAAACACACACATGAAGGCGCATGGTCTTGGACGTTGCATTCGTCCGGTAACGAACCACACGTGGCATCATGTTGCACTTCGAGACGGATTGCACGGCGGTTCTCCCCCGGGCACGCTATTGTAGGTATGTAGCTGGTAGTAGCATGGATGGATGCGTGTGTGGGCTGGTGTGCAGGTGGAGCAAAAGGTGGCTCCGCTGGCGGATCATTTACAATGGTACACAGCAGTTTGACCGCTACAGAAAATGCAACAATAGCCACGACCATGACTCGGGTACAGCTAGTAGTTCAATCTCGGGATGATCTGCTCCCGACAAGCACACGAGTCTGTGCACTGCTGGCTACAGGCCATGTGCGTTTTCATCCGGCGTATGTACATCCGGGCGCAAATGAGCAGCCTGCAAGGCGAAGACAACAACGTTGCTTGCTAGTACTGTACCCCAGTGTTTTTTTTTTTCTTCCAAGAAAACAAAGTCAACTTTGTTTGGCGCGCAGGGTGTTTCAGTCAAAATCGATTGCCGTAGTGCAGCCCCTCACTGGCACGGACATAAACCATGCACCAGACGTGGATAGTGCAGCCGTGTATCCCTGCTAGTGGTGAATGCCACCATACACGGAGGCTACACCCCAGCGCACAGCAGACTGTGACCCCGCAAACATTCATTTCGTCGTTTCATCTGCTCTGGGCGGCTGCCTGCTCTAAGAAATCCGCAACAGCAGTTTTCGATGCGTTCGAGCTCCGCTCACCATCTTATCAGCTTCTCCCCTCGCACACCAGCCACGGCAAGACCAAAACCTGAGCAGCTCTCTGTCTCCTGTCTTTCCCAATATTCCCACGCGAGAGCGCTAAGAGCCGTGGTTTGTTCTGGTCCGAGTTGACTGTTGAGTTGCTCCGACACATCAGCGGGGGCACCGTGCGGTGCTGCAGGGGAACATGCGGGGGGTAAAAAAAGCTTGTCTCAGCAGCAGAGACAAGCAGCCGATCTTCGCCCCATTCTTCCCTCCCGTCTCCTGTGTCTCTCCCGCTGAGCTGCCCACGGTAAGATCTCCTGTGTTTGTACCCATGTAGGTGAGCGAGTAAAAAATCGTAGTTGTATTGCGGGCATTGCGTTTTGTTAAACGGAAAAACATCACATCTAGCTCTAACCTTTGCTTGTTGTCCAGCTGTTCCGGGCCGCGGCGGATGTTGATCGGATAAAACAACACGACACACACGGACGGTGCGGTGCCTGTGTATCATGGATTCACGTTGGTTGTCCACGCTTCTTACCCCGAAGTGTCTGACGCGGATGAGTTGCATGTCTGATAGTGTGAGGCAGTACTGCTGTGTACAGCAGTGCTTTCCCCAACTCCCATCGCCCCCACCGCACGCCGCGTTCCTGAGCGGTATGTTGTCGAGCGCACGATCTGTTGCACAGGAGGGTTTTGGCAGTGACTTGGCCCCAAGGCGCTGTGGAAAGTCCAAGGGCCCGGCACTGCTGACACGTATCTAGAGGGTACTTCTCTATTCCAAAACACAATCCAATTTTCCGTGAAAATCCAACCTTTCCGCTCAGGCAGCAACCCTTACCTGCTACTGTTGTAGCAAGCGTGTAAGCGTGTACCGTTCCCAGGCGACGTGTGTATGCCGTGCCATTGGATGTGCGCTGGGCGTCGCAGCTGTCACTGGTGTCTGCGTCGTGAAAAACAACACATCTATGTATTTGTTTGCGCTGATAGTTCCAAGGGCGTGCAAGTCCTCAGCAGGAGTAGATAACGACCGTATCACCAATGGTTGTCGGTCCATCCGCTGGCGCCACCAGACCGTCCGCCGCTGCTGCTATCTGCATGTGTACTGACGGCGTTAGAGCCGCCGCCCGACGCTCCTCTCGGCACCGCCCCCCAGTGCACGATCCTATTCTCCATGTTCAGCATTTTTCGCGCGGACAGGCAAGATGGCTTGGTGTTTCAACACGCCCCCCACGCCGTTACGACCTCGGTATGTAACCGCCTGCACTTTTTTCCTGTGCCGAGGACAATAAATCTTCCCTTTTCCTGCTTCATTCAACCATGGACACCTTTGCAGGACGCACCTATAGGTAGAGGGGGAAAGGGCACGCAGCTTCTTTCGAAGGGCGGGGTTTTGCACGAGAGACACAGGCGGCGGCGGCGGCGAGGACGATGGGGGCATCGACCGCAGGGGAACGGGGCGGGCGCGAGCCTGCGGCAGGCGCTATGTCGGCGATCGGGGAGGTAGCCAAGCAGCTACAGTCCAACTACCGGGAAACCACGCCCAAGAGGCTGCGGATGTTGGATATGTTTCTGCTCTTCGTGTTCACGACTGGGGTGCTGCAGGTGCGGCGGGGAGGGGGGGGGGGGGTCGGCAGGCGGACATTGTCCCGAAGTTCATCAGGCAGAATACTCAGAAAAGTGCGGCGGGTCGGGAGGGCGCGCGCGCGGGGATGGACAGGGCGAGTTTCCTGTTTCTCATGAGCGCCTCGGGACGGCCGTAGTCGAATGGAGGCCGCTCTTATGTGTGAGCACAAGTTGCTACATGTCTTCATCGAGCCGCACACGAAGTCCGCTGCGACTCTGTTCCGGTTTAGACACCTCTTCTGTGTCGTCTTTAACTCTTCCTCAAGCCTCCCCTCCCCTCCCCTCCCCTCGCCTCCCCTCCCCTCGCCTCCCCTCCCGCCCCCCCTCCACGTGTTGCCGCAGTTCGTATATTGCGTGCTCGTGGGATCCTTCCCGTTCAACTCGTTTCTTGCCGGGTTCTCGTCGACGGTTGGGGCCTTTGTGTTAACAGGTTGGTTTCGTGTTCGTATCGCTGCTGCCGCGAAAGGTCGGATGGTATGTAGCTGCCGACGCTACAACGTATGTTGGATATGTACACGGTCGTGCGCTTAGGGGCAAGGAGGCTACATTCGTCGCCGCGAGAAGCAAAAAAATGCTCTTAAATATTAAATAGTCTTGTTGCATTCAGCAGCGCAGGAGATCGATTCCCCTTGCCTCGTTTCGATGTCGCTTGCGGAGTTGTCTTCCCAGTGGCGAGGCCCCCGTTTCCTTTCGGCTTGTGGGCTGGACCGCTGGCCTGCCTTTGCGAACCCTCCTGTCACGAAGAAAACGCAACGATTCTGCGGAACAATAACTTTTTGTGTGGATGCCCTTCTCGCGTCTTCTTGTCTTTCTTTGCTTTGCTTTTTCTCCCCCAAGTTTCTTTGAGAATGCAGGTGATGGAAGCGAGCGATAACGGGGGGGTCGTTCGGGGGCGGTCACTGGAGCGATGCTTCGCGGAGTACGTGGTGTGCAACATGGTCCTCTTCTTGGTGGTGATGAACTTCATGGGGTGAATGGAGAATCAACTGCGATTGTGATGATGACCTAGTGATGGAAAGGAATGGTGGCGGCTGTGACCTGTAGAACGTTGAGTTCGTAGCGAGCGATGGTGGCAATGGAAACAACGAGCACCGCTTCAGGAACAAGAACTCGCTCGTGGTGTAAAACGACGCCCGCGGGGGGGAGGGGGGGGGGGGGCTCCGGATCTTCTTTTCCGCGATGCCTCTTTTTTGTGCAGCGGCGAGCAGGCGCATGGCCTCTCAGCCTTTTGTGATGGTGGCGCTACTACTCCTTCGGCGGTTCGGTTGGATGGGCGGATGGGGTCAATACCGTGGGACTAGAGGGGTTTGTGTCGCCAGTAGTACCGCACGTGACTAGACGCCCGTTTTTAGCGTTGACAGTATTTGGTGAGTCGTTCGATTTTTGTTCACGTGCAGCGACCGCCGTTACGTGCATGGTGGGCGGGTAGCAATTCGCGCTTTTGCTTTGCCGGCGGCCAAGCGTAGAAGTGCGCGCATGCGCGGGTTGTGTTTTTTTTCGAGTTCGTTCTGTGTAGTCTGTGTGAGTTTCTCGTAGAATTCAACAGCAGTCCACCGTAAAAAGGCTTTTCCAGAAACGTCGGCAAGTTTCACAGACAGCTTCACATGTTTTAGCCCGAGCGCCGTGCTCCTGTATTGTTTTAGAAAACCTGGGCCGGCCTTCGCGTGCTGCAGCTTGTCGAGTCTTCCTGTTTATGTGGAGAAACGGCAGCAGGTTGCTGAAACGCCACATGAAACTAGTGCGGTCGAAGGACTGCACTTGAAACCGTCCTTGAAAGCCGCCACGCACTGGAAACATCGACTTCCTCGTCTACAACATTTTCTGTTCGCCACGATACCACCCAAGACCATCGCAGAAACACAAAAAAAGTGTGGTTATAGTTACAACTCATCGGACATGGTCAGGCGACGGGGCCTTAGTTTTCGTCTACACGAAACTGCTCCTTGGAAACGTGCTCAAAAATACGACATTTTACTCAAGAATGTGCCGCATTCAAAGCGACTCAGCTCAAAAAATATATTCCCACGGAGAAGCTGTGGGTGTGTCCAACACCGGCCAATGAAAAACGTACTTATGCGTGTTAGCCGCCGCCGCCGCCGCCGGTGCCGCCCGTGCCGGCCGGCGCGGCGATGCGAACGGGAGGTCCTAGCCGCTGCCCCGGGGTCACCCCGATGGCGGACATTCTTTCGGCGTACGTTTTCTCGGTCCGATGCCGCGCGCCCAGGGTCCACTCCAGGGGTCCCCCGGCGGTGACCCTCCTCATCTTGTAGGGCACGTCGCGCTGGTTCCCGTAGACGAAGTTCCCCTGGCGGTCGAAGCCGCGGTCGTTGACCCACAGGCGGTCCGGCCACAGCCTGAGGTCGTCCTTGACGAGGATCTCGAGGCCGTCGACGTTCTGCGACTCGACCCACGTCCCGCTGTCGTCCTCTCCCATCAGCCCCACGAAGGACTTCCCCCCGCCTCCCGCTGCGTCTTCGCCCGCCCCTCGCTCGGGAACTGCACCCCCGTCGGTGTCCTGTTTCCCCGGCCCTGAAATTCCCCCCGGCATGGTTTTCTCGTCCTCGCCCCTCGCCTGATGCCTGCCCCAGTAGATCTCGCACCCACAAATGCGCTCCACGACGCCGTCGCCGGTTCGGCCCTCTTTCGAGCAGCGCTCGCTGCTGGCGTCGTCGCTCCCTCGTCTGGGCTCCCTCTGATCGCTATCGTCGTCGGACCAGGAAAACGAGGTGAGGTCGTAGGTGTTGGCCCTGAGGCGGGCTTCCACCTCGGGGAGTAGCCTCCAGAGACGC